CAGGCTCATCTGTAAGGTTTTTTTCCTCCAGAAGAAAAGGTGGAAGTGTGCGTTTCTTCACCTCAGAGGTTCAGCAGCCTCGTGCATTTTTGATCCTCTTCTGCTTGTTGACATCGGAGGTGAGATGGCTCTTCTGCGTATGGTGAGAGATGATATGTGCTTTTCATAGACCGGCTGCACTTGAATTTGTCCAGCACCTTTGTCGTCCTTCTTGCGCAGTGTCGTGGGTTGCGTTTAGTTGAAATCGGAATGATTCAATCGCTATTTCGTAGGATGGCTACCCATTTCCCCTTTTCCGGAACTTGTAAGATAGATATTATTACTTTACATCACTGGTATTCCTGAACAGCCCCTATAGGGACCACAAAATATTTTTCTTGTCCTTCGTTGAGGGCCCTGCCTCGTTCGTGCATGATCGCAAGCCCCAATGGAAGGTCTTCCCCCCATCCTAAAGATAGCAGAGCTTTTACACAGCCGATTACGCAACTACCCTCCTGCATAATTAAGCGAGTGATTATGATGACACTGAGTTGGAGTTTTAGTGGAGTGCAAAGTAATGAAGTAATGCGCCAGTGGCAGAAAAGAGAAATCCATTTCTCAACTCTTCTCTTCGTAGATTCGGCATTGTTGTAATTGTAGTCTTATTTTTCTAACAACTAGGTTTTAGGTAGAGACTTTCATCAATGGCCCGACGTCTCGACGAGATGGTTTTCCGCAAAGGCCTAAACGTAGCTCAGGGTTTGAGATATGTCCTTTAAACCACTAAACGCCTCCTCTCTCACGAAACGTCGGATGCACGTGAAAGCTTCCGAACGAAGGAACTGAACTCACTTAGTCAACCACCAACAGCATAACAGCGTCATTCTAGATTAAGTTATGGTAAGTAACTGAGGCCTGGCTATAGTTTAGACCTGCACGTCTCAGTGTCTCAGTCACGTCAGTAGCCAACAGTGTGGTGCAGACGACAGAAAATTGTTTGTGGAGGATAGAATCTCATAGCGGTTATCCAATCTGGTTGGTTGCAATGCGATGGTTAGTTTCCCTATCTAAACACACGGGCGAAAATGTCTCATGGCATGCTCAGTGTGAAGTGGTTCAGGAAAGCAAGCCCCAAGAACATAACATCTGCACTCTCGCCCCCTGAGAAGTGCAACTGCTAGAAACATGTTCAGAACAGCCGCAAATGGGTGCATGAGTGATGCAGAACGGCAAGAATCTATGCGATTGGCATTAGATAGTAGTTGTTTTGAACGGCTGTTCTGTATCACGACATCGCAGAAGGGCTCACACTGAGCAGCGAGCGTTTCACATCGAAGTTAAGTCCCTTTATGTATACCAATTCTGATAGAGTGACTGCGGCAATTCAACGGTGTCTTGCCCGTGCGCAGCTGGACGATGATGTTGTCTTAGTGAGCATTCCTAACGACAATATCAGACGCCAACTCGTACGGAAATAGACTCTACGATAGGCAGTGTATATCAGACCATTGCGTTACATGCTCGAACGGTCTTGTGCCAAGAGTGGCGTGGTGTGTCAGATTGAATGTCAAGTGGGTAACGCAACATACATGGGGAAACTGGAAGGACACTACACTATAGTAATACACGCCAAGGAACACTTGTTAGAAAGGGTGCGGCAACATAATAACACCGCTCAGGCAAGCATTTAGTTGAAGAGCACCGCGGGAATGACTTTGATGTAAAGTGCAAAATTCTGCATACGAGACTGAGATTTCTGCCAGGAAAGCGCTTGAGGCATTCCAGATTCACGCAAGAATCCCAGAATGAATAACCGCGATGAGTGTCTGTCCTCCACATCGTACTTTTCTGCCGTTTGCACCACATTGTGAGCTACTGACGTAAACACTGAGACGTGCAGGTCTGAACTATAGCCTTTATACAAAGACTGCACAGTAAGCCTCAGTTACTAACCATAACTAACCGGAGTGGCGTTGTTCTGCTCTTGCGGTGGTGGACTGGGTGAATTCATTTCCCTCCGTCAGGAGTTTTCGCTGGTTTACCTTAACACTCCGTCAGAAACGCTAAGAGTGGAGGCGTTTGGCGGTTCAACACATTGACGACAGCGAGTGCGAGTGCAATTATTTGAGACACGCGACCGCGTCTTACTGCCGTCAGTGTGTCAAAAACATATCTCTAACCTCGAGCCACGTTTAGGCTTTTGAGGAAGACGATCTCCTCGAAACGACAGGC